TTGATGAAAGAGCACAACCTTGTTCGAGTTAAATTAATTTTGGATTAACTACAACTAATACCTTTAAATGATTCTTTTCTATACAAAAAGTCGAAGTAGGATGTTTGCACAATTGCAAATACCTCCGTTTGTTTATATCTTAAACTTTTCATAGGGGGTAAAATTTTTTAATAGTTACAAGGGTACTAAAATGGGGAGGGGAGGCTAAACACCTACTGTGAGATATAGAGATCTAATCATGTATCAATTAATGCGACACTTAAGGGTGAGCTTTACCAATTGAGATACAAGCTCGTGGTAACGTGCGATTAAAATAATACTAGTACAATACCCGTTTAATACACGAGTGTTGTATTAAAAATATGGATACAAAGTTAAAAAAACAGAAGTTTATATTTTAATTTATCAAATCTTTCTTAAAAGATTACATTATTATTTAAATCAAAATACACACTACGCAATGAATGGACCACAATAATGTTAAATGAGTTTTATTTGATGGGTATTAATTTTATTATTTTCCAACTTAGAGTGATAGGTATTTAATTTTATATATTAAGGTATTGATATTTATTTTTTATTTTATCTAATGCAATATGAATGCATGTTGTAAAAATTATATAATTTTGTTTATCGTACATAAAAAACGAATTACAAAAAAATTATGAAGTCTTAAAACATATTTATAGTCAAATTTACGGAGTATTTTTGTGATATTAAAACTATTAACCTACATGGATAAAAATCTAAATCTACATGGACTGCTCGGAACCACCAAAATTTGAAAAGTAAGACATTGAAGCATGGGGATAACACATCGTATTACAAAACACTAGAAGAACTTGCGAAACTTTGCATTCATAAATAGGGGGATTTTTTTTGTTTTCTTTTTCTTTTTCTTTAGTAGATTGATCTTAAGAAAGGTTTTTGGAATTTACCCCTTACGCTTCAATATCTAAGTTTCGGTCAGAAATTATTGAGGTTGGGAGTGTCTGACCTTTCTGCTATACTGTTATGTACGCTTGTCAGATGTTCTCTTTTTTCAAATAATATATGCTTGATAAAATAAAATCTCTATACCTATGTCAGGAGAGCTACCTCGATTTAAAGCTGGAGTGACCATGGAGATTTCTCGATTGGATGCTTGGTATTCAAGCAGTGATGGGTCTCTCGAAGGTTCTGCAACATATATAGTTTGCGGCCTTTGTCGGAAATGTTGCATTCCGGAAATTTTCCTTCGGTGCATGCAGGTAATGGCATCACAGCTTTCTTTTCTGTTTTATAGTATTATAGTGTTACATATATCAAAACAAAGTTTGTTTTAATATAATACAAGAAAAGTGAAAATAATAAAGAAAAGTAAGAGAAGAAAATAAGTTGGCTTAAAAGCTCAGTTCACCCTGTAATATTTGCTTCTAGTTACTTGTCACTCTCAAGTTGATAATTTTGTAACAAACACCTACTATATATATCTGTATATTCAGTGAATGTGGGTATGATATTGATTACTTATTCCGTCAACATTTTTGTTATTCTATATTGTATCGAGCTATTTGTCATAAACGTACCACTCATATACTGTAAGGGAAGTGTGCCATTTTTTGATTGCTTACTTTCCCGTCTTTTTTTTTTTGGTGGTGGACATTGTGTAGGTCTCTGTGTCACTGATGGAGTCTGGCTATCGACCAGAGAGGCATCACGAATTAATTGAACTGGTCAATTCTCCTGAAACTGATTTTCTTAGTTTATTCAGCCAGAATCAATTGCAGGTTAGCATGCTTTTCTATTTCCTCCTTTTTCTTCATAACCTACCAAATAATAAGTGAATGGAGATCCACTGTTGTTCTGGTACCAATATTCATTTCAACGAATGATTTGTTTTAAGACACTCTAATTTATATTTTCATTAGTTAAGGAGAATTGAGTTATACAGAATAGAATTGTATTTAATTCAGCTTAAACTTTAGTAACCGTATTCTATTTGGAAAAACCAATTGTATTTATAACATCCGCGGTTTGCATGACATGCAAATATTTAAAGTACTGCATTCTTGTAAATGTGTATATGAAACTATTATAGTTCTCGTTCTAGTTTAGTATTATATAGTTTGCTAACCATGTCTTCAAACAATGCCAGCAATGTATTCTTTTGTAGGTAAATGATTATTATTTATGGACATGTTTTTACATGCAGGAATTCCTACTGTTCGAGCGAGACTATACACTATACGAGACGAACCTTGAAGAGGGGCCAAATTCTTGATTCGCATGCATGATGTGAAATATGTTTTAAACCAAGCTACACATGGTGCAATCGCAACTTTATCTGTGCAACTACTGTAAAAATTTCCGGGCAATGTCTGAGTAGATGTACTATTGGTTATATATCTCTTGGCTTGTGCTCTGAGGTTGGTCTCATGGTGATTGAGGTGATATTTCGGGTGGATCAAGTACAGATTTCTCGGTGGCATCGTTACTTTTATTTGTAAAAGTTGCATCTGATTTTTTTTTTTTTTCACAAGACTTGGAGTCATTGAATGTGCTATAAAATCAATCACAGATATGTTGAGAAGATGGTATTGTCATTTTAAGTTAATATGTTGAAAGTACACAGTTGAAATTCTCTAAGTTTGTGAGGCGGATGTACTTTGCTTCGTTGTCCTCTGTCTTCACAGCTAAACCAATGATACAAGGTTACCATATACTAATAAATATTCTTGTCGCCATTATGTTTTCGATCCAAATCATAAGAATTTTTTCAACTTCGTATCAATCTAAAGGCTGCCAATGTCAATATTGTACTCTGAACGACTAATGAAAAAACTAGATATATCCTGACAAGAATGTTTATTCTTTCAATCAAGTTTTCAATTCTTTACCGATGTCAGCCCTGTACGATGAAACCGACCTAGACAAGTTACATCCGACACAAGGCCATGCAAAACTTTCTCATATTATTCGTGCAAGGCAACAAAAAATTGCTAGGCAAATCATGTTAAAAATGTACCAACAGAGAGAAGGTAGTTCATGTATAGATAAATAAAATGTGTACATGAGCAACCGTATAGAATCTTTTCACAGCTTATAATAGATTAATAATAGTAAAATCCCCCTATAGTACTATATATTCAACCACATTAGAAAAGGTAGAACAAATAGTATGATTAATTAGATAGTTAGATACCGGGAGACGATGGAGGGGGAGGCTACACTGCAGCATCCAACCACTCCAAACTACTCGTATGCACCATAATACTGCACAGAGGCATGTACAAAGGTAACTCAATTTTATCGAATTCTTGTGTAACAAGATTGCATAAAAAAACAAAAGTCCAGTGCTCCTTATCATCAGATTTCAGGGCCAACAACTCTAAATACTTCACCCACCCAACTGGGATTAAAAGGTCATCATGTCGAAGACCTAATTGTTCGAATCTTCCCTTGTGAGCCGCCAATGAAAAATCTACCTTCTTTCTCCATTCCCCCCTTTCGGGTCGACTCATCTCCCAAATATCCCACGAATTATCCCCATAACAACGCAATAATGACAGATACCTTCCAGTCCAGAGGTAAATATTGTTTACATTCCCAGCTCCACCTAAAGGGATAGGGCCAGGGGTCTCTGTAAAAATTTCAGTCTCCAGATTCAGAGTCGAGACTTGGTTGGTAGGGGGATGAGTCCAATGCATAAAACCTTCAGAAATCATCAACCGATCCATTCGCAATGGTGTTGTCGACTCGAATTCAACTTTCCTCCATGATTTATCAACTCCAACATTTAATATATAACAATGCATCCTCTTTTCGATTTCTGAAGCAGGCCAAAATATAACCGCTTTATACTCCATGGAAGCTGGTACATACCCCATTGCATGAAATCCACTTTGAACACGATTAACAAGTGGAGGGAGAAGAACGACTTGGCCCGTTGTGGGATTCGTGACATACAGATTATCCCTATCCCCTAACTGATTCCCTAACCACAATCCATTACAACTACTTGCGATATGGAGCCTGCGTTTGTACCCCAACTTAGTGATCTCGACTCGGACCCCTCCTTGTGAGAGCATTAAATATGAGCCCAGAATTGTACATTCGAATAGGAGCCCATAAGGGGCGTGCTGTAAGTAGAAGCGCATGAAATCACGGGTGTGAAGGAGATGGTACCATTCGCGGCAAACAAGCCTTGCCTCGTAAAGTTCTTTGCCTGGGACGCGTGCAAGGACTTCCATCAATAATTCATCGGATAGAGAGTCTATGTCTGTAATTGGCCTCTTCCTTCTACTACACATCCTCGGAGATAATGTGCGCCCACCAATAATCTGCATATGGTGGGGGGGAAAAACTGAGAATTTGACCTATAAAAGTACAAGTTATTTATATAAATGTAACCTAACCTAACGTCCACCTCTTGGTGGACATCCGATAAAATTGTAACGATACAGAGAAGATTAGCATGGCCCCTGCGCAAGGATGACACGCATAAATCGAACCTGGTGATCGCGTGGAAGCAGGAATTTGAAGGGTGTAACCTGAGCGTTGCCTTCTTCTTTACTGGCAGCCTTTGATAGTCGAGGCGGCGGTGGCTGCCGCATCATTGACTCCGGGATCTCAGGCGACCACGGAGTTCTCTCATAAATAAGACTCATCACTGTGATAAATAAACAAATCAGACAAGAGAATAGAATAAGGATATAGGGATCCGTACACTATATTTTCTACGTTAGATCATGGAGGCAAAGGTGTAGTTGCGTTTGGGTAGGAAACATCCATGTTCTAAAAGTCGCTAGGCGCTGCTCGATCCGAGCCTAGCGCCTAGAAATCGATATTAAATATTTTATTATTTATTTATTTTAATTACCTACAAAATAAAATTATCTCAACTTATAATAAATCGACACACCTAAGTCCAAATAATAAAATTAATATATTTAAAAAAAAAAACATGAGAATAAAATAATATGTCTGGCTGCCGAGCCCGCCAAGTCTGCCTAGGAGCGTCTAAGCCCGCCTACAGAGCCGGTCCTAAACATTTTGGGGCCTTGGGCGAAATACAAAAATAATGTCCTAATATTTTGTTTACTCTAAAATAAAGCGATACTTTTTTTTTTAAAAAAAAAAAAAGATAATAATAATAATAATGGAATTTTTTCTTGGGTATTTTTAGATGCAAAATCATCAATTATATCCTCATAATCTAAATTTTCAGTATTATCCTTACCCATGCATTATGCATAGAATAGCTAACATGTAACTTGTAAAGCATCATTCATTCATAAGAACCATTAGGCAATACTCACGAGGCTTCTCAAACCCAAATATTGAAATAATTAAATAAATTTATAGGCCCCAATTTCCAAAATTCAGGTTTGTGGCTATCCTAAATTTATGTTTTTGGCTATGATAAATTCATAAGCCCCAATTTCCAATCTACAAATAAGTTACAATAAATTCAATTTCAATTCTAAAAAAGAAAAATACAAAAACTAGTTGGAAGTGATTAACAATTTTGCTAATGATCAATTGATGAAGAGAAAAAAAAAAAAGAAAAAAAAAAGAAGGAACAATGGTGAATAAGCAAAAACAAAGGTTGAAAGGGTCATCTATAATATGTAAAAATTAATATTTGTTGTCACTAAAATGTTACATTAACAGGTCAAACATTAGAAAATGAGGTTAAATAAATCTTGGGTTGGTATATTAGTAATCGAGTTTATTTTTACACATATGTATTCCTGTATAATTTTAGCTAAATTTACTAATAGTATTAATATCTTGATTATCTTATGAATAGTTGAGCTGGTAAAACATATGCAATGTCAGGATAATTTTAGCTAAATTTACAGTTCAAACTTATGGGATTTTATTTTTTCTTACGAGAAAGTTAGAATAGAAGGGCATTTAATTTGAACAATTTTGCAATGGTTGGTTGAAAATTGAAATGATTTCAACCAGAAATCGAAATCACACTAGCGAAAAAATATAATAACAAAAAGGTCTTTTTGTTTAAAAATTTGATAAAAAGCCGTTTACAACACTTGAGTCAATTACGACACTTTTTTAAATCGTTTTTAAAGGCTAAGTGGATTTGTCAATGGAGTACCGGCGCCTAGACGGTTGGTCGATTTTTTCTGCCGATTTGTGTAAATCGGAGGCACCCAAGCACCGACGCCTAGGCGGCTGGCTAAGCTGATTTTTAGAACAGTAAGAAAGATATGTATAACCCGACCCGAGGGTTAGATTAATTACGTCAAATCTAAACCCAACCCGCATATAGTTTACCTACTATAATTCTATCCCTTACTGGGTTAGTACCTTCCGAGTTTGAGTCATATTTTACCCGGTAAATGGATAATCGGGTCCTTAAATTTGAGTTTTACTCATTTTGACTCCTGTCTACCCGGTCCGACCCACATAAAAAAAAATATTCACCAATTAATTATAATATAACTAACAAATTATTAACTAAATTTCAAAATAAAATAATTCTAAAACAAATTCAACAATGTTTTTGGAATAAATGAGATTTGATGATTTACCTTTTATAGTTTAATTAAAAATATAAATTTTTACTTAAAAAAAAGCTATAAAGTGCAATGAGCTATAGAAAGTTTAATAATATATTTTTAATAAAATATTATATACGTATTAATCTTTTCCCAATTTTTAGTTTAGAAAAAATAAGTATATTTAGGCATATTGTTTATCTTTTTTTAACTCTTTAAATTGTAACTTTTAACATATTCATATATTATATTAACACTAGTATCGTGGCCCGTGCAAATGCACAGAACTATTCAACATAAATCAAATAAAGAAACATAAATAGAATAAATAATTTTATATACAATTAAATAGATTACTATAAACAATATTTATATTTGTATATTTTATTTCTCATCATATATCAAAATCTTGTATCTTTTCTATTTGTAACTCGAGAAGCAAGAGTTCGTAGGAGCTAAAAGACTAAAAATATATTCTTATTATATATATATATATATATATATATATATTCTTTTTTTAATAGAACAAATTGACATAATATTAGGTTTAATAAAAAAAACTTCTTTAATGTTGGAATATCTGTTTATAAATCATTATCTTGAAGTATCCAACTTTATGTCGCTATGTCTATTATAATTTCTGATTGAATCCAATAAACCAACGAAGGTTTCAAAAATTGGCAACATGTGTTGGCCAGTTAAAAATATAATTAAAATATTTCGGAAGGTTTGATTGTCAAAAGTTAACGGAATTTTTTATAAAAAACTTTGTTCATGGTAAACATTGGTCCCTTAATTAATCAATGAGAAAATTACATTGTTCACTTACAATGTATGATTTTATTTTCACATTTATAAAGTTTTTTGAATTGCAAATATACTAATTTTGGTTGTTTATGAATAATTTATTTGTGTTTTTATATAAAAACTAGTACAACACCCGTGTATTACACGGGTGCTTGCTAATTTTTTTCTTCTTAAAATCTAGAATTAATGAGAAAAAGTAGTTTGAAAATTTAAATACCTTTTATAAGAATATATATGTTATTATATATTTATTATGACATTTTTTATTTGTGCAACTTAATTGTGTTATATTATACTATTTTTTTTAACTTACAATATATAACTACATTACATATAAATATCTCAATTGAGAAATAATTTTATTTTTCTAATGAATTTTAATAAAAATTATTATTTTTTATTATTATAAAGATAAATATAATTTATTTATTTCATATATACAATATGGATGTCAAATCGA